AGATCATCGTGAGTACAAGAGCTTCCTCTCTGAGATTAATCGATCCAAAGGCTCAGCACAAGAGAACCCTACCTACTTAAAACCAATAATTGAAATTGTAAACCCAGCTTATGGTGTAGCTAGATCTACTTAAATATTAACATCATTGTTATTACACCGCTTTTAGATTGTATTACATACTTAATGCATAATAGAAATATTTCATAGCTGAAATAGTCAATGTTCATGTATAGCTGTCAATCACACTTGGCAATTCATTATTCAGCATGAGGCTCTAGTACAGTACAGACAATAGAAAATCCTTCAACGGATTCAATCTCAATATCTGAGGATGCATACCTTAAAATAACAATTTTAATGTCAGTGTCTACATGTCCATTTTTAGCTTAAAATAAAAAGAATGTCTGATCTTGCATGACAGCATTTTTGCTGTTTTGTCTTTGTACCTATAGTGTACAACGTATTATACTTGGTGTGTCATGTCAATCCTATCAGATACAATTGTTTAAAGTGTGGCAGAAAGGTTTCTTCCATTTTCAAATGTCATTTCCTGCAAAATATGTACAAAGAACATTTATTTACTTGGCTCCATCTCTGCATAAAATGAGTGCTGTACATATTAGATATTTATAGTATATTGTCAAAGATGATTGTAATAGGATATATATGTATTGACTCTGGATGAAGGAGGATTGTGATGAGAATAAGTGTATCGCCTAATTATTTACAAGTTAGCTTCGTCTGTTTCAATAAGCTTATATATGTATTTTTGGTACTTACCTACATGTATTAACAGTTACAAGTACAATGGGGACAACCTACACTTTCCTAAAGCATATTAAACTAGTCTTCACCTACGCAAAGCTGGGCGAGGCCAAAAGTATTACAGCATATAAAGAGTAGTACTATAGATCAGATAGTCATGTGAATACTCTACTAACACTAGAGCAAGACAAACTGAGTGTTATTGCAGAATAAAAAAGTTTTGCAACAAGTTTCTGTTTACTTCCAACAACATTTTAAAGCATAAGGTTCAATAGTAAGAATGTCTTTCTCAACTATACTTCTAAATACATCTAAGACTTCAAAAGTCATTGCAGTCATTTTGAACTGGGTTGAATGACTTGTTTCACTTTCATTGTGCTATCAAAACTATATGCATATAGTGTGATAAGAAGTAAAGCTTACACTGGCATTATTTTAGACAAGATGACAGAGTCAGCTCTTCTCCTTGGATCATGTCTTCTTCTCTTGGTAGTGCAGTCTCTTTCATTGTGTGTCTTGGAGGATGGCAAAAACTCCACTTGCTCTAGTTCATCTTTACTGCTTGTATCTAGGAGCCAAATAAAGGATAACAATGGATACTCACTGATAGTTAACAAGCTACCATATATTGCTACAAATTGCACAAGTACTAATAGCGAAAAGGAATTTAATGCATTTATGGGAGAGAGAGGACTGGAGACTGAGTTCCTTGATAAAGACAACACAACAGTAAAGGTATGCTAGTATCAAACTCATTAAACTCATTAGAACTGATATCCAATAATAGCTAAAATAAATAATGATAAGTGACATGACTTTTTTTAGATAAATATTCTTGGGGATGTTGGCAGTGGTCAACACATAATTTCCATATCACGTTTGATTAATGATTCAAACTGCTGCAAGGTAGAAGCTGTTCTGAATCATGAAATAACAGTGAAAGTCATTGGTTAGCTATGCATGTTCACAAACACATGTACATGCATTAGCCCAATTATACAAATTATAGAAAGAGTTTACTCATCACTGAAATTAAGAGTGAATTAAGCTATAGCCATATACAAGTACATGTATAGCTGGGAATATTTGCGTGACTTTTACTTCATAATTTTTTGTGAACTTAGCAAAATGGAATTTAAGGTAATGAGATGTAAGCAAGCATTTGTTAACTAAAAATCTATTACTGCTTTGCAAAGTTAAATTGTATATAATTATAATTAAATGACAGACCACAAATTATTTAATAATAATCACTGTGTGCAAAATATCATTTTAGATGATCCTTATGCTCATCACCAGAACACTGACCCTCAGACTATACAGTGTACTGTATTGCATTCGGACTTTTCCGACATGTGGACAGAGTTTATGCTAAATGATGCTGTGCTTGGATACTGTGGACACTTTACAAGTCCAGTTGAGCACAAAAATGGAATATCTATTTATTATGATACAACTGAGGGAGTCTGCACTTTAAAAATTGATAAGTTAACAGATGATAATAAAGGGAATTACTCATGCTCAGTGATGGTTCCATACCCTGATGGTAATGGATTCTTAAGATTAAACTCATCATCCATACCCATTAATTGTCCAAAAAATTATGATAAAACTATACTTGCAGCTACTAGAGTACATTATCAATGATCGTACACCATCAATTTTCGGACACTTGTTTTAGGAAAACTATACATTGCCATCTCATGAAACTGCAAAGTATTATAGCAATAGTCATCCTTTATTTGCGTGACAAAACTTGTAGCTCTAGCAAGAGTGCATAGAAAGTTATAAGCTCTCAAAGCGTGGTGTCCGACAATACCAATGATCGGCCAAAATT